CCACTATTTCAGATAGGTTGTTGAGGATGTTGTGGTGATATCCGAGTCGAACCTGATGCAACTACGTGTCATCCGCAATCCTTCTCACCCAATCCTTCTCAGATGGGTTCATCCCTTGCGGATAGGTAGCCGGCACACCAGTCATGATTTGAGTCATTCTGTTCCCACCATGGGGTTGAGACGACTCCCCTACGACCCGCTGAGAGTTCCCAAATGTCACCCTCTGTGGTAATGGGACACTTTTTCGAGGCGTGACTCTGATCCTTGGACCTTGCTGGGCTCGCGACGGAACATCAGGTGCTGGCTCCATTGGGGGTAGGTAGGACACTTGTGGTGCAACCGCGACATCACTAGAAACCGTGTCCTGGTCATATGGGTCCTCCTCTTCGCAGCGAGTTGGGTTCCTTCGAGAGCGACCGACTACGTATCCAGAATCATCAACAAAATATTCGCTTGAATCTAAAGGCATCATCGAGATCTGTGACATGAACAATCTTGATTACTAAGCTGTATCCTCTTAACAAAAGCTTAGCGATTCAGAGGAAACTTCTAGACAACACTAAGTCTCAACAAACATGCTAGGATTCCTAGACAACACCCCTGGTTTCTACACCAGAGCTTCTGCTAATATAAGACCAGAGCCTCTGTTTCCTCACAGAGCTTTCGAGACCAGAGCCTCTGATCACAGGGCGCCTACCAGAGCTTCTGTGGCAATTTCAATACTTAGGTATGCTAAGGGTTCCTTTCAACGACCCTCTGATCCTACTTCTTGCCCCAACCAGAGCCTCTGGTAGTGAGACCAGAACCTCTGTGGCAACCCTTATACTTGTCGTTCAAGTGTTTCATGCATGGGTCCTCTGGTTCTCCTATTCGTCCATACCAGAGCTTCTGATCATAAGACCAGAGCCTCTACGGACACAACGATAGCGAGAGTTGAGCATTCCAACTTCCATCGCATCTGGTCTTCTTGGCCAGTGCCTCTAATCCTAGGAAACGGATATTCGAAAAAGTGGAACAAGGCTCATGCTTTTCTTCATAGTTTCAAAACTAGAGCATACTACCAATAAGATCGATTAAGTTCTTTTCATTACACATAAATTAAGCACAGGTGATCAGGCTTTACCTAACCGATGTGTAACAACAAGGCCCGCTTTAAAACACATGATTCCAGATTTACGAAGATTCTTTAGAAATTATTTTAGTTATAGTCGATGGTTTTTAAAGAAAACCAGCGTTCTCTATAACTGAAGCTCTGATACCAAATCTGTCACACCCCGTTAAAGCGGAAACACGGAATGTAACAGGTAAGCGAGTCTTGGCAACAGTTCTAGAATAACAATTTTTCAGAAGTTCAAAATATATAGTTCATCGACTTGACAAGAATTCAAAGTTACAAAATATTTTCAAATACAACAAAAACTATCTTAATCAATCTTGATCCAAGTAATGCTCCCAGAAGTCCACACAACTTAC